TCTGTCTCTCTGTCTCTCTCTCTCTCTCTCTCTCTCTTTCTCTTTCTTTCTTCTTTCTTCCTTCCCTCTCTTCCATCCATCTTTCCTTCCTTCCTTCCTTCCTTCCTTCCTTCCTTCCTTCCTTCCTTCCTTCCTTCCTTCCTTCCTTCCTTCCTTCCTTCTCTCTTTATTCCTGTTTACTTTTCTCTCTTTCTTTAATCCTGTATCTTCCTATCTTCTTTCTCTCTATGTATTTTCCCATATACCCACCCCTCTGCCATCTTCAAGGAAGATAACACATAAAGAGATGAGATTTGGCTTATTTAAAATGAGACAGTGGGACATAGAACATCATAGCTGGTTATATTGCTCAAACAATAACTGGACAGGGATTTAGACTTACAGAATTTCAAATTAGTCCTTGAGCTCACAGCCATTTATGCCTGAAAATGAGCTCTTACTATGGCAGCTAACAAATGGTCATTCAGCCTTTGCCTGAAGACCTCCAGTGACTGGAAATTCATGACCTCCCAATGCAGACTGTACCACTTTGAGGTAGCTGTCATAATCAACCAATTTTGTAGTTTGTTTGTTTCCTTATATCAAAATTCAATTTGCCTCTTTCCAATACATCCATTACTTTTGGTTCTGACCTCTGGGATCAATCAGAACATTTAATCTAACCCCTATTTTACATGCAAGCTTTTCTAGAACCTTGATCACAACTGTCTTATCCATTTCAACTCTCGAGGTTAAATATCTCCAGTTTCTTCAGTCGGTCCTCATGTGGCAAGATCTTCAGGACCATCATCACCCCAGGTGTCCTCCTTTGGATGTTATCCAGTTCATTAGTGCCCTTCCAAAATCATGGTGCCAAGACCCAAGCAAAGTACTCCAGACCTAACCAAGTCAACAAATAGTAGAACTATTACTGCTCTCATTCTGAATACTGTTGTTGTTCAGTCTTTCTGTAATGCCTACCTCTTCATGAATTGATAGGCCGTAGCATGTCAGCTCCTTCTATCCTCTGCTCTCTCTAAAAGTCTGTCCAAGCCCATGTTTGTTCTTCCATGACACTTTCTAATCCATCTCACCCTCTTCTGTCTTTTCCTTTTGCCTTCATTTTTCCCCAACATCTGGGTCTTTTCCAGTGAGTCTCATCTTCCCATCATGTGGCCAAAGTATTTAAGCTTCAGCTTCAGTATTTGACCTTCCAGTGAATAGCTTGAATTAATTTCTTTCAGCATTGACTGATTTGATCTCCTTGCTGTCCAAAGGACTCTGAAGAGTCTTCTCCAGCACCATAATTCAAAAGCATTAATTCTGCAGCACTCAGCTTCCTTTATAGCCCAACTCTCACAGCCATATATTGCTACTGGGAAAACGGTAACTTTGACTGTGTGGACCTTTGTCAGCAAGGTGATGTCTCTACATTTTAGTATGCTGTCGATTTTCCATACTTTCTCTCTTAATTTAGCCAAGGATTGCAGGAACTTTTCTGTTAGCTGTGTAGTGTGGACTCCAATTAAGTGTACTGTCTTGTACTAATTTTTTTTTTCACAGACTGTTGTCTATCCATATCTCCTCAATATGAGACTTGGAAAATTGATTATTTGAACCCAAATACAGCACTTTTCGTTTGTCTGTACTAAATTTCATATTATTATATTTGCCTCATTGTTCTGATCTTGCATGATCTTTGTGAATGGATATCTATTCTGTCATCCAATTTATTACTCATCCCCCAGCTTCGGACAATCTGCAGAAATATTATGTACCATCCAAAAAGTTAAGTGGGGGGCAGCTAGGTGGCACAGTGGATAGAGTACTGGTCCTGGATTCAGGAGTACCTGAGTTCAAATCTGGCCTTAGACTCATAACACTTACTAGCTGTGTGACCCTGGACAAGTCACTTTATCCCATTGCCTAGCCCTGCCCCCCTCAAAAAATTAAATAGAACATGGCTAATAACATGTCTTCTTATTGCATTTCATTGAGGGTCTCCCTCCAAGTTTCCCTCAATTCAGCTTTAGCCATAACATTACAGATTTAGAGCTGGGAGGAGACCTTAGAGATCATTAAGTCTACCCCCCTTCCCATTTTACAGATAAAGAAACTGATACATCTAATAAGTATCTGAGGCAGAATTCCAAGCCAAGTGCTTGCTGACTCATTAACCAACTTCTCTCCCCAAATGAAAATCAAGAACAACTCTACCTGTCTTCAGGCTGCAGAAATTTTGTTTAACTTGATTTTTCAAAAGTAATGTTCAGGACTTTGGCAGTAAAAACTGCCATTCTTTTTAGGGCACTGGGGTGTATTTTGTTGAGGCATGGTAATTTGAACTTGTTGAAGTGCCCAACTGCATACTTACCAGTTTCTCATTTAGCTTGGATTTCAATTCCCTGTTTGATATTTTTGTACTTTCCTTCCTGGCCAGAAGGTCTTTCTCTTTTCTTTCTACCTCTCTTTCTTTCACTTTGCCTTTTTTATGGGAACTCATGTTTTGGGAAGTTCTTCCTGTTCTTACTGTAGCCAGATGTCTAATGGTGATGTGAAAGCGATAGAAAGAAGTAGAATCAGTCTAAAAAGGGAGGAGGTTTTAATATGGGCAGAGTCTATATTAGCTTGCCAGATGCATTTTTTGGATTTGTGATTGTTGAAAATCAATCAAGGACAGCTCATTTTGAACTTGATAGTTAGCTCCTTGAGGATGATGTCCATGTTTTTGCTTTCCTTTTGGATTATCTGGCATATGCAGAAATTTAAAGAACAGGATGGCTTCAGTCTTATCTCCTTTATTCTTATGGAGCTCCCTCTCTGGCCCACAGTCGTTAGGGGTTGAAACATTATTTTTATTAAATGCCTTGCTCTCTATTTTCGTAGTCCCTTTACCAGGAAGATCAATTATATACCCTCTCAAAAATAGAGTGCTTTTGCTCACTTTGGTTGAAGAGAGGAAAAAAATACTTAGAAGTATTATTAATGATTGTCTGCTATTTTTCCGCCAACTGGTGAGATGGAGTTAATCTCCCTTGCCCAAGTTTAAATATGTTTTCATTGGCATTGTTGGTGAACCGCGCTTGATGATTTTGAGCCACGACTGACTATGTTGCAGGGAAAGGTTAAAAAAGAGCCCTAATTGATCCTAATGTGTATTTCTTTTGGCAGAACTTGAGGGAGTCTTGCTGGAATAAGGCAGGACACTTTTTTGATCTGCCTGACTTCTTATCATGGAAGGCAACTGGTGTCCTGGCCAGGTAGGTGAATTAAAGTTGCATCCTGTTTGCTCTCATCCATTCTCCTGCCCAAGAGAATATCTGTGTGTAGGTATAGATTCACATTGATATGGCTTTCAAAATTCATTTTAACTGGACATATTATTTGGACATCTGTATGTGATTTCACATACTTGAAACATCTTGAAACTATCTTATAGCTTCCACTGCTCCTACCCCAGCACAACTGTTCTGGGAAGCCTTGGGGTTTGTGTATGTTCAGCTAGAGCAATTAATTAAGAGCTGGATACTGAAGAGGGAGATTCAGGCAGAGGCCAGCCTCAGATGTGATTGACTCAGAGTCAGCAAAGGCTGGCCTTACCAGCTGTTTTGGTTTGAAAGAAGAAAACATTCCTCCGTCGACCTTTGAAATTGAAAGAGAAGTAGAATGTTACTTTTAGAGGTGGATGGAAATGTGTAGGCATTGTTGTAGAATTTAGGTTGGGCTTCTATAGAAGCAAGAGTTATGGGTACTTAGAGCCAGTGGCTCTCTGGGACTCTTGTTTCATCCATAAGAGCTTATAATTCAACTCAATTACATTCAACAACCATTTATTTTAAGTACAGAAGCAGCATGGCATAATGGCTAGAGAACCAATCTTGGAGTCAGGAAGTCCTGGGTTCATTTCCTGACTTGAACACCTACTGGTTGTGTGGCCTTGCACAAGGCATTTAATCTCTTAGTGTCTCAGGCAACTCTCTAAAATTTTAAAATGTAAACCAGGTGCTGATGGGGGGAATTTCCTCACCTGAAGTGCCATACTATTGAAATCACAGCACAGGTCTGGTAAAAAGCAAAACAAAACATACATACATACATATATATGTGTATTTATGTGTAACTGTTTATATGCATATACACTATATTAATATCATAGATGATATATAATTTCATATTATAACATTATCATATTAATGTATAATGTTATATATTATGTAGTATAATATATGCATATTGCTATGCTAATATTATATATGATGTAATTTTACATTATAGAATCATTATATTACTATTGATATGTAATGACATATATATGTTATATGTTATATATAAATGTGTTTAGTGTTTGTGATACAAAGACAAAAATGAAACTGGTCTTGTCCTCATGAGTTTCAATTCTAAGAAGGGAAAATAACATGTTAGGAGCCAGTTTAGTGCCGCAGGAAAAGGTGCTGAATTTGGAATCAGCAGACTTGTATTCAAATCATGATTCTCTTACTTATTACTTTGATCCTGGGCAAGTTAGTTAATTTCTCTGAGATTCAGTTTCCCCAACTATAAAATGAGAGGGGTTATACCAGGTGGCACAGGGGATAAAGAGTTGGGCTTGGAGTCAAGAAATGAGTTCAGGTCAAGATGGCAGAGAAAAGGCTGCAACTCACCTGAGGTCTTCCCCACCCCCCTAACACTTTTAAATAATGCTATAAAACAATTCCTGGAGCAGCAGAACCTATAAAAAGATGGGGTGAAATAATTTTCCAGTCAAAGACAATTTAGAATATTGACATGAAAGGTCTGTCACACCTGGATGATCTCCTGAAAGAGACTCCAAAATGAAAACTCTCAGGAATGTTATAGCCAAATTCCAGAGCTCTCTGGTCAAAGAGAAAATATCGCAAGCAGCCAGAAAGAAACAATTCAAGTATGGTGGAAATACAGTGAGGACAACACAAGATTTAGCAGCTTCTACATTAAAGGATCAGAAGGCTTAGAATATGATATTCTGAAGGTCAAAAGAGGTAGGATTACAAGAATCACCTACCTGGTAAAACTGAGTATAATCCTTCAGGGGAAAAAATGGAAACAGAGGACTTCCAAGAATTCTTGATGAAAAGACCAGAGCTGAATAGAAAACTTGACTTTCAAATACAAGACTTAAGAGAAACATAAAAAGGAAAACAAGAAAGGGAAATCATAAGGGACTTAATAAGGTTAAACTGTTTTCTACATGGGAAGATGATACTTGTAACTCATAAGATTTTTTTCATTATTAGGGCAGTTAGAAGGAGTATATACAGACAGAGGACACAGGTATGAATTGAATGTGAAGGGATGATATCTAAAAAAATTAAGTTCAGGAGAGAGAGAGGAATGTACTGGGAGAAAGGGAAAGGGAGAGGTAGAATTAAATAAATTATGTCACATAAAAGCAGCAAGGAAAAAAAACCTTTTCCATTAGAAGGGAAGATGGGGAAGATAAGGGGGAGTGAGTGAACCTTACTTTCATCAGAATTGGCTCAAAAAGAGAATCACATACACATTCAATTGCGTGTAGAAATCTTTCTTACCCTACAGGAAAATAGGAGGGGAAGGGGATAAGAGAAGGAGAGAGTAATAGAAGGGAGGGTGGGTTGGGAGAGGGTATAGTCAGAAGCAAAATACTTTTGAGGAGGGACAGGATGAAAGGAGAGAGAGAATAGAACCAGAAGTAGGAGAACTACAGCCTCAAGTTCACATGTGGTCCTCTAGGTCCTTAATTGCAGCCCTTTGACTGAATACAAACTGCACAAAACAAATAACCCCAATTCCTTTCATTAAAGGGATTTCTTATGTAAAGTTTGGACTCAGTCAAAGGACTGCTCTTGAGGATCTAGAGGGTCACATGTGGCCTCAAGACTGCAGGTTCCACACCCCTGGAATAAACAGAGGGGGAGATAGGATGGAGGGAAATACAGTTAGCAATTGTAAAATATGAAAATCTTAAAATGTGGAAAAAAATTTAGAAGCAAGTTTCTCTGATAAAGGTTTCATTATATATATAATATAGAGAACTGAGCCAAATTTATAAAAATAAGAGCCATTCCTCAATTGATATATGATCAAACGATATGAACAGTTTTCAGTTGAAGTAATAAAAGCTAGCTATAGTCATATAAAAAATGTTCTAACTCACTATTGATTGGAGAAATGCAAATTAAAACAATTCTGAGGTACTGCCTCTTACCTATTAGATTAGCTAATAGGACAGAAAGGGAAAATGATGAATGTTGTGGGGATGTGGGGAAAATGAAACACCAATCCACTGTTGGTGGAGTTGTGAACTGATCCAACCATTCTGTAGAGCAATTTGGAACTATGCCCAAAGGGCTATAAAACCATGCATACCCTTTGACCTAGCAATAGCTCTACTAAGTCTGAATCCCAAAAGATAGAAAACGGGAAAAGGACCTTTATGTACAAAGTTATTTATAGCAGCTTTTTTTCTAGTGGCGAAGAATTGGAAATTGATGGGATGCCCATCAATTGAGGAATGGCTGAACAACTTGTGGTATGTGATTATGATGGAATAGTATTGTGTTATAAGAAATGATGAGCAGGATGTTCTCAGAAAAACCTGGAAATACTTACATGAGCTGATGCAAAGTGAAACATACAATGTACAAAGTAACAGCAAAATTATAAGATGATCAGCTATGAATGACTTAGCTATCCTCAGTCATACAATGATCTAAGATAACTCTGAAGGACTTATGATGAAAAATGCCATCCATCTCCAGAGAAAGAACTGATGATGTCTGAATACAGATTGGAGTATGCTTTTTTACTTTGTTTTTCTTGAGGGGTCTGTGTTTTCTTTCACAACATGACTAATATGGAAATGTTTTGTGTGACTACACATATATAATTTTGCCTTTTCAATAGGAAACAGAGAAGGAAGGAAGGGAGAGAATCTGGAACTCAAAGTTTTAAAAATGAAATGTTAAAAATTGTTTTTACATATAACTGGGGAAAATAAGATAATAAATAAATTTAAAAAACACAAAATAAAATAGCAAATAAATTAAAAAAACAAAAATAAATAAAAAAATACTAAAAAAATTAAAACAAAACAAAACAAAAGTGAGTTCAAATTTGCCCTCAGATACTTATTAGTTGTGTGACCCTGGATAAGTCATTCAGCCTATGTCTTTCTCAGTTTCCATATCTATAAAATAATAGCACTTACCTCTCTAGGGTTATGGTGAAGATCCAATGAGATAATATTTGTAAAGTGCTTAGCGTAGTGCCTGGCACACATATTAAGTATTTAATGAATGCTTATTCTCTTCTTTCCCCTTCTCTTCTAAGATCTCTTTTCCCTTTAAGTCTCTGATGCTATACACATAAATAAAATAAATAGAAATGATTTTGGTGGGATTAGAGGAAGAGCACTAATAATTAAGGCAGGAAGTACTAGAAAAGTAAAGTATTCTTCTTTCCTGAAAATGTCCAGTGCCACCCACCTGGGTCACCCATCCTCCATGACTCTTCTTGGAACTTTCTTATGAACCTTTTAATGAATCTTGGGAATCTTCATTTCCTGAGGCATGCATTTGGGTATCCCCATTGCTTTTCAACAAATGGCACATGCTGTCATTCAAGCTTGGGTTACATCCTTTAGATCTTTCTGAAGCTTTTATCAATTACATAGTCATAGCTGTCATAAATGCTCAGTGGGTGAATTTCTTTACTATGGAAGCTGTGTTTTGAGTCTCAAAGGAAATCAAAAGGGTTGTTGTTCTCACCTCCATTATTAGGGAATGCACAAAACTAGGATCCTGTCATCCTTGTGGGAATGGCTCATAATTAGAGAATTGGGAAGGCACAAGTCGATAGGGGAGGAGAATTTTCTGTTAAAAGATAAATATGCATACAAATATTTGTTGGAGGCTAACAGCAAACAGTGTAAGCTGTTGTGTGTGAAGGTCATCACCGTTATTCAGAGTGAGAAGCAAGGAGCAGACATGCTATTCACCCTGGGCCTCTTCTGCCTATCTCTGTCTGTGGGCTGCAGACCTCTGCTCTCCAGGGAGTAGAAGAGGGTATGAGATTTCACTGGCAGGAGCTGTCACAAGGGAGATAGCATATCCTTGCTTCCTCATACACTCCATCCATCATGCTAAATTGTACCCACCACAAAGTTATCTTTGAACCCAGGTCCCCAGGGGCTTCTGCTTGTTCACATATGCAACTTCTTGGCAGGATAGGCTTTGTCCCAACC